GCTTGGCTGCCAGCKGGGGTGAAACCACRCCAATGGCTCCAGCTTAGATCTTCATTTCATCTTATTTTTAAGTGATTTGCATGTGTAGTCAATACCCTACTATCTGTCCTCAGAGGGCAATAATACTTATTAATTAACTTGAAGATGCTATCAAAMAACTTGAGTTTGAAAATACAGAGACATATCTCATTTACTTAAATATAAAAAAAGCATAAACCCTGGCATCTTAGAAATTATTWAAAAAATACTGTTTCCTGATAACCAGCCACTTTGATATAGAATGCAACACCCTCAYTGCCTGCTGCTCTTCCAGAAATACTCTGAGCAGCAGCTTGATGCTGCCTGTCACACACAGGCTCCTTTGCATGCAACTATGGAAATGAGAAATGTCTCGTGGTCCATAGTGGTTGCTGGTTATAAATCACTCAGCATCACCCAGGTGCCAGGACAGTCTCTCACAGGATGAGGCTCTCCTTGAGCCACCTGAAGGTCTCTTCTAACTGGGGAATATCACTGGGGAAGCAGCCTTTGCATGCACAGACATGACAGAGGCTCTGGAGAGATGAAGTTTCACCAACCCTTGAAGAGACCACTCTTAGCCAAAGGCTGGTGTTGGACTAACCTGCTATACAGAGGTRAATCCCACTGATACCAGTTGGAGATACTCAATATTTAYGCAGCTTCTACAGTGAGGCCACTTCTGGAGATGTTTTAACATGGAATCGCATTTTAGGCATCTACTTTTGGAAGGTGGGAGTTAAGCAACCCCACTCACTTTTATCCAGTCAAGACTGTAATGGAAACTGTGGAATATGCATTTGCAATTGTGTATTTGCAGCAACACCACTGTGACTGGCAGTAGGATGGCTTTCAGACTTTCTGAAGGTGGTTTTTGCTATTAATACCATTAAAAAAGCCTATTTATTGAAGCAACCCATGGGGCAAACATCAGACTCACAGGAATAACAACTGAAGTGAGAGAGACCCTCTGAACTCTATGAAATATTTACAAACAACTTTAGGAGCCCTGGGATGAAGTGAAGTACTTTCAAGCATTGAGAGAAAACCTAATGGATATAAAAATATCTTTTTAGCTCTCGGTGAGATTTGTTTTCACAGACCTAGCTCTGATACGAGAAAATGTATTATGTCATCCAGTCTGCCTCCTCCTGTTCAGGAGAGAAGKGGTTCCAGTGCTATGTTTTATAACACTTGGCTCAGCCCAGCTTGGCCTGACTCAGACAACAAAAACCAAACCCTCTTCTTGGGAATCTTCTCAGTTTTTCTAAATATTTCACTTCGTGGAATTTTCCCCAGTATTCCACCCAGAACAAATCAACACAGTATGTATGAAGACATTTTGATGTTGTGATCATTAYGCTGTTGTTTTCATATTTATCCCCTTAGACAACCCTAAATAACTTCTCAGCCAATGTGGTGTTGATGTTCCTCTAATATCTGTCTGCAGTTATGCTCCTCCCCATTTGAACACATTATTGCTGTGACTGAGCCTTCACAAACAAATTCTTTCAGATGTTTTTCTGCCTGTTCCTACCTCTCTGTACCCAAGAAGATTATAATTATTATTATTACTACTATTATAATTATACTTGAGGGAGAGAACAAGGAAAAGAAAGGAGAAAGAAGTGAAAAGACAAAAATACCTTTTTTTCATGCTACCCCAGCTCTGTAGGCATAGAAAGATCCTTTCTAAATAGGTGGCCTACACACATAATTCAARTTTTACCTCTAGGATTTATGATAAAGGTATTGTTTTCATGTCTGTTTTCTCTTCCTTGCCTTATAYGTCTTTTTTTCTCTCTTAAATTTTTATTAGAACCTTTGAGTTTTCCATTGTTGTTTGGACAGTTTAGAGAAATGAGRTTGCCCCTAGAAGAGGTTAACCAGGAAGTGTTTCTGCTCTCACACGTCTCAATATCAAGATGATGAACAGAGAATGTCCCCTTTGAAGGATTCTGTTTCCAGAATCTACCGCCAAGGGATTGTACAAAAAGAGCCACAATCAGTTACAGAGGAGAACTGAATTTAAGGGATTTATCTGACATTTGCATAGCATTTGTTTTCCTTGCATGTTATCCTTTCTGCTTTAAAATAAAGACAATAGCAGTCATACCCTCATCAAAGCAGCCTTTCAGATTTGTGAATYTTTTCCAAAACACAGCCCTTGTTGATTATAKTTTTTTTTWWAATTATCCTAAAAAAGCCTATAAACTCTAAGTGGTAGAGGAAGATGCACACAGATACTTCAGATTTTAAAAAATATTTATAGTTTAAGAAATAACTGTGATTTTTTTTTTGTTGTTTTTACTTTCTGACCAAATCAAGGTTTTTTTTACCATTTGACATTTGTAACATCTGAARCAGAACAGAAAACAAAGTAACATACCACGGCTTGTCTTACGTGTTAAAAATGTCATCAGCTGTTGCATTCAATGATCTCTCTGAAACACACAGAGCTACAAGTCCTACCACAGCCAGCCTAAGCTGCCCTTTACAGGGTTCTCCTGGGGTAAACTCTCATCCTAGAAGCAGCTTAACCTCATGACGCCATTCTCTAAGCGATCATTATTCTAATTTTACTCTTGGGGAAGCAAAAGCAAGCAAGACAAAGCATTCATCTAAAACTTTGGAGTAACTCAGGTGCATTTCACTGACCTGTATAAACCCAGCATGCTGTTTGAATAAGTAGAACACATTCTTTCCACATCAGGAGAAACTTAAAAAAAATTATTACTTTTCTGAGCAGAGAACATACATTTTAACACACTGGTCCCTCTGCCAGAAAGCATGACTGAGGGKTTTTTTTCCTTCCACCATTACAAAATATAGTCACAAGCAAGTGAGCTTCTGCCTGTCTGCAGGACTTGCAATAGTAAGAGGTTCTGGCAGTAGCTGCACTCCCTATAGGATATATACAGCAACTGGGTCAGCCTGTTTACAAAATAGCTTGTGATTATCACAGCAGTGCTCAGCAGCTATGAATACATCATACCAGAGTCTAATTAAAGACAGGCATAGCTAAAGCACTGCAAAATAAGGAAGCAGTGGCACTTTAATAAAGCTGCTCAGGACTGGGAAGAGGTTAGTTTTTATTCTGTTAGTCCCTTGGAGGTCAGATCACCAGGTTTATTCTGATAAAAAATGAAAACATCCATCYAAACATCTTCTGAGGGCTGTCAGTTCATACCCTTAGGAAAAGAGAGAAATTTGTAATGAGATAATAGCAGTTTAAATGGTGAAAAAATAATTTTCAGGGAAGGCTGAAATAAAGATGTCATTGAACTTGGTTATTTGTGCATAAAATGGATGTACATAAAACACCATTATACCAATAGCTGTATAAAGCTGTAAGTGTTCCTAGCCTTACCCTTCAGAAAGTGGCTGAACTCTCCTTCCTCTCCTAAATTCACCTCCTGCATTAATACCTGGTGTGATGCTTCAGCATTGACTCCCAATCTGTCCAGTCCCTGTGATTCACAAAATGTGGTTTTCTTCAAGCAATGCCTATTCCTAAACGACAGAGCACAGRTCGAAAAGGAGGTGGGAAAGTACCTATTTCATACCAGCTATGGAGAGGAGAATGCTGTATTTTCTGGAACAAAATAGTTATGCTAATGCTTCCAGCAAGCAATGGATTGTACTAACACTAGGATATACTCCAATACTAGCTGAGTCATCATTATTTTAGGGTGAAGTCTTAGAGGGAAGGGAAACAATCATTTTTGAAGAGATCATGTCCTAGAACATGAGTTCTACAGAAGAAAGATCTTGAAAAATTAGCCAAGGGAACCTGTCTTGTACTTATACTGCTTTTTCAGAAAGTGGGCTGTTTTGTTTTTCTCTCCAGCCATTTGCTTTTGTAAATGCTGCAGAAAAAAAAAAAGATGAAAATCTACAATTCCATCCATTTGTCTCRTATTTTACTTCACAGGCACTTCCATCAGTTTCATCATGTTGTATAAGTATTTCRTGTACTGTTGTAAGTGTTCTCATAACCAACTCTCCCAACACACACAATTCTTCCTTTACAGAATCACAATTCCCTTTTTGAGACATGCACACTTTTGGCCTCTTGCATATTTATACCATGAAAGCTTTAAGTTTCACAGGAATAGAAGAGATGCTGTTGATTTTTCATCTTAAATAGCAGGGAAAACATTTTTATTTATCTGAATTTTAGAAGACATCAGGAGCCATGCACAGCTGCTGYAGTAGCTCTGCTGAAGAGGTTCAGAATGGGTCATGACAAAAATGTCATAAGCACATTATAAAGTTGAGCAAAAGTTCTAAGTCACTAAAAGGATTTTAAATAAGAGAGAAACCTATCACWGCAGTACAGAGTGAATACATATAAAATATTAACTTCTACAGCATTTTTTTGACTGTGGCTAAGAACTCAGATGTTTCTCCCACAACACTGCAGATTTCCTAACATCACTTTCCCTTAGAACTTAAAAAAGCAGGTAACACCCATTAAGAACTATGCAACCCACCAGAAACACCTTTTAACACAATCAGCACTTCTTCAATTAACACCCTTGTTGAGCTGTTACAAATTTATGTAGATCCACCAGTCGTTAGTATTAGCAACTAAAGGAGCCTAGTGATAAAGCCCCAATGGAATGCTAATTAAAATGTTCATCATCTTAGGTAGTGTTTCACACATATCTTCCAGGCAATCAAAATAAGTTTAATGTAATAAAATTATTTTAAATCTCATTATTGCATATAATATTCCCATTATTATATGGATTTAATTAATTAATATTTCAGTCTCTTCTGTTGTAGTATCTAAAAATTGAGGGTACAGTGAGAGTGCTGTGGGCAGGCAGTGGGGAGTATTGTCCAGGGAAAGGCACACAACAACAGAGTGTAACAGCAACTTAAAAGATATAAAAACTTAGAAAAACTAAAAAAAAAACAACCAAAAAACCTAAAAAAATGAAAAAAAAAGAAACTCATTATAGATTGATAAGTAGCAGTAGAAGATATCCTTATTATTTGTGCCCATATGGAGAACATTGTGTTGTTGTGTTGATATTAATATAAAAAAAAGGAAAAGAGGCAATGAAAAGCAAACAGATTTCCAGACCAAGAAAAACTGAAACAGCTACAACAGTTTCAAGAAAAATCGAGCACTTTTTTATTACTCTGCTAAAATATACAGTATATTTAAAGCACAGAAATTCAAAACCAGTAAAACTTCAAGGACCCAAGCGCATTCCCAAGGTGGACTCCACTGTTTCATGGTGTGTTTCTTGTGCCCCACAGGCAGCTCACATGCCAAGCCTTCTCCAGCTGTTCCCCAGCATTTCCAGAGTAGTCAGTTACACTGTTCAAACAGTGCTATTTCTTCTTGAGTGCTCTCTTTCCTTCCCCTTTCTTTGGTTTTTCCTTCCCACGGAGCTTTTTCAATCGCCTCATCTCCTCCCTAAAATCCTGATGCTCATCCCTAGGTGGGGAAAAAAAGAAAAAATTTTACTCTTTTTCTTGGGATGCAAAGATAGGAAAGGTTCTTTGAACCATATGCTAACGAAGAAACAAAAATCMAAACTTTTTAACCATGAAATCCATACTGAAGCTTGCTGCAATGCATTCCATGTTACTTCTGGCTGTTATCACTGAATAACAATATGTGAGATTTCCTCTGATACATTCAGCTCTAACGGGGCTGTCCTTTTTAGCAACAAATGGCATGTGCACCTAAGTATTATTTCAATTGTATTTATTGATCCACTTGGTTTAAATGAGCAGTAGAATACAAAAACCAGCAAGAGACCAGAAYAAGAATTTCCCCCTTGTTATCTAGCTCAGCAGTGTAGGCACAGCACATTGTGTTCCTGTGYTCAGGTCATTAGCTCCTCGGGAAACAGGGCCATGCTGAGCAGTAATTACAGCACATGGCACTGCTCTCAGGTGACTTCAGGAATGAGTTATGAAGATGGCAYCAGTACTGGTAGAATCTTAATAAGAGAGTAAAACAGGAAGGAGGATGARGGGGCTGGCAGAGATGATTAATCCTCAATCATTTTCTAATAAGTTCTATTAATGTATCCCTGCATTTGTTAGTGCMAAGTGATTTTCAAAAATCATAACTGCATCCTATGTGTCCTAAGATTGCTGCACTGCTATTTTTAGACACAACTTCTCTAAATAGAAACAAAAAGCTTGTGATTTATTACCGGCCTCATTAGTCTGATTCTTCATTACACATTTCTGAGCTGCAAGCCTTTTCCTCTACCAACTCTGTATACAGAGCAGCAAGAGAAKGAACTTAATAAGGGAAGGAGAAGAGTAAAGAACAGTAGCATGACATCGAGGCTTTCTGTGTAAATAGCCATTCTAGAAAGYGTTTGCACACCCATCTAAATCAAGAGCATCCTGGATAAAATCCTTCATGGTTAGGATTGTGATACTAGCAACAGGTCATCTGTTTTGACAATACATGGTTTGCAACCTCACTTTTAAGAATTTCTTTAGTGCTACCTGATTGAAGTAAAAGAATTGCATTTGACTCCTGCTGGTRTTCTTCAGCAGTGCAATTCTTCCTGCTAGAGACTGTGGAAATTCATTTAGAAACTAGACAACTGCTTTGGATGAAGCTGGAATTAACAGGAGTATTTAAATCACATTTGAATTTAATTTAACTTGATTTATTTTAAAGAATAAAMAGGCCCTCTAGCCTAACAGAGACTTTTCTTCCCTTCTAGATTTCACTTATTAGCTGTTGAATGATTGAGAAATATAAGGTAAGACTGGTGTTAACATCACCTCTTYGAAGCACGTTCTTTTGCCATATTCAGAACTACAGACAAAAAGCTTTCTCTTGTTTATGAGAAAGCTTTTTTCTCTTCCCCACAAAACCAAAGCAGGAGCTATTTCTTAGGTAACCACTTGCCCACAACTACACTCAAGTCTTTCTCACAAAAGGTTCCAATTATGGCAAAAGTTAGACAGCAGTCACTTTGCTCTCCTTGCCCTTGGTGCAACAATCAAGTGCTTATTTCCATATGTACCATTTCAAAACKAAACATTTCTCCTCCTTCCCTTGAGGAAAACGATTCTAACAAGATTCACACCCACCCCTTTCCTGTTCCCTCCCTGCATGTACAGAAGTACCTGTAGAGCCCRAAGTAGCGCAGTTTCTTCATGAGGGCGTAGTAGGTGTTGTGAGGGGGGTACCAGTTGTACACCTCCTCCCGCTTGGCCAGGGGCTGCTCACTGAACARCTTCACCACTTTCATGGATTTGGAGTCTGTTGGCCTGACAACTTCGCCGAAGATCTGGGCACTCAGCCGGGCCATGCGAAGGGCATAGCTGGAAACATTGGACATCTCCCGAGGAAGGGTGGGCGCACACAGACAGACAGAGCTTCCTGCAAGAGGAAACACAGAAGAGCCACAACTCTTGAGATAGCTGAATAGAAAAAGCTCTCCAGAATTAAAGCAAACAAAACAATGTATCATACACTGATAACACATTTGAGGTCACACATTCCTTGCAAGAAATCAGTCTCATCCTTAGCACATAATCCTGCATTTAAAGAACACCTGCACAAATTCGGGTACAATTCCCAGCCTGCAGACAGCAAAACCAACTATAAAAGTACCTACACTGAACCACTATTTACTGTGGCTAGCATGGTTTATTAGCAGATACCACTCAGCTTGCTCAAGACTACCTTTAAACTTCAACCACGGGAACAATTACAGTGTGAGCTCTGCCRAAAATCACACCTGTGTGATACCACTGACTGCTACACAAGCACAAGGCAAGACATCACTTCAACATACAAAGAAAGCAACTTGGACGTTTTTTCTCCTGAAAGTTTCTCACCCTATTTAAAACATTGTTATAATCCATCTAACAATAGCCTATAAATAAATCATTTTTCTCTATATGAATCACACAGACCTTTCCCATCTCAATTCCCTTCTCCTCATCATTGCCATCAGCTTTTTGTCCAATCTTTTTCCAGTCTCTCACGACACCTATTCATTTTGGAAGGGRAAAAAGTAGTTTTCCCACGCCCAATCATTTTTTCCAAGAAAATCCATCAGCAGCTTCTCATTCTCTTTTAGTCATCTCCCACCTAACAATCTCTGCAACAAAAATGCCCGGAAGACAAAACCATTGTTATTAGGCCAGCAGACAACATCCACTCTCTTAAAGCAGCTTGAGAAGGGTTCTCTCTCAGCTTTTCTAACCCTCTCTATTTTAAATCTTCTTTACTCTTTCTTTGCAGAATGGGTTGTACTAGACAAGAATAGGAATCCCTTAATTCTGTATTTGGAGTTGTACTTTGCCTTTTTGAATGAGTGATAACATAAGTCTTCAGACATCTTAAGCAGGTTCATTCAAGAGCATTACACTGAGGTTAAAAGTTTAAAATTCTTGTTTTAAAAAATATTGCATGGCTGATTGCAGAAAATGAGCATAATAAATTAAAGAGCACGGATAAGAGTAATCAGCAGGACAGTGCTAAGGCCACTTCAGTATGATTACATGAATCTGTTCTTTAATGACACAAATTTAAAGTATTCATAACCTCACTTACATATATCTGGCCATTGGAGGACCAGCTTTGATTTACTCCTGTTAGCAAACCACTCTAAAGGAAGCAGGAAAWGAAAATTGAGCATGAAAATAATACAAGTAATCTGAGTGAGAAAGAATAATGGAAAAAGTAACAAAAGGGAAGGCAAAGCATCACAGACCTCGAGCTAAGGCAGCAGGCCTAGTGTGAGAAGTTCKCAAATGACTGCAGGGCAGCACTTCAACTTGAGCATTTATTACAGGGGGAAATGATCACTAAGTTTTGCTAAATCATCTGTTTCAGAACTGCCAGTTCTAATTCCTACATTCTGAGACAAAGCAACAAATTGTCAAAACCAAACCCTTCACCACACGAAAGTTCTAAAAGTGTCTCCATCACCAGACTCAAMCACACAACTTGCTTAATCTCTTCTTATTGCAGCCTTGAAATGAAAATACCTTTAGCTCCCAAATCATGAAGAACCTGATTTTCACTTCCGAATCACTAAAGGAATCTTAACATGCCAAGGCTGGAGACCTCCAATCATCCTTGCCAGACTAAGAACGTTTGAGAGAGAAGCAAAGCAAAGGCTACAGACTCCCAAATGCCAGAGCTATCCAAAGCCTGTTCTAGGGTGATTCTGTGACATGTCACCAGAGCAGTTTTGTTATTGTCACCTCCAGCCATCATATCTTCCGGATCGCTCACTGGGAATTAACACACCTAAAGCAAAGCAAGTGTTCAATGACGCCGCTCCACCTACTCCCACTCAAAGCCAAGCTTTCCCCTTCTGGGCTAAGCTTTTTATTACCGATCCACCAGCTTGTTACAGACCGCTTCCTCTCCCGCCAGGAAAACTCTCTTTTCCTGGCATTACTTCTGATTTTCCTACGAGCACATGGGGCAAACACGGCCGCCACGGAGGTCAACCCGCGGCGGGCGCGGTGCCGCCCCAGGCCCCGGCGGGAGGGGAGCGCCGGGACGCGGCCGAGGGCTGCGGCTCCSCGGGGACACGGCCCCGCCCGGTACCCCGGTACCCCAGAGCCCGGTACCCCCGTTCCTGGCCCGATCAGCCCCGTCCAGCCCCGCTCGGCCCCGCTCACCCCGCGCTGAGGAGGAGCGGCGGCGCTGCCGGAGGAGCGGCGGCGCGCACGGGTGACGCGAGGGGCGGGACGGGCGGAGCGGGGAGGGATCTCCCTCCTCGTCCTTCTCCTCTTTTCCYTTCTTCCCCGCACCCAGCTCGTGGKGTGYTRTCCCCGCAGTCATGGAATGATGGAATMACAGACTCTCCTGGGTTGGAAGTGACCCACAAGGATCATCGCGTTCAGTTCCCAAAACGCCCCACACCGTGAGAGGGTGACACCCTCTTGCGTCAAGAGTGACTTCCTCTCTTTCATCCCCCCCAATGTAAGCAGCTTTGCAGTTGTATGCCTAAATCCGATAATGAAATGAGGAAAACGCTTATCCTCGTTAAAAGCTGATGATCTGTCTACACGGAGCCTTGTTCTTTGGTTTTACAAAGGAAGCGTGGTGTGAAATGTCCGCGCTGACACATGCATTCTGCAGCCTCACTCCGTAAGAACGTGTTCGTGTTAATAAAACCGAGTTGTTTTTACCCGTGGGAGAAGGCATGAGTTTACATAAAGAGCTGAAAGCCGGGTGTCTTCACTCACAGCCCTGACCAGGCTGCGAACTGCGACAAATGTCAAAATTTAGGTTTACTGAAAGGTGCTGAAAGGAAGAGTTTTGCAGCCACAGTTGTTTGTCATTCACTGTGTCTCCAAACCACTTGGAGAGATTGTTTCTGCAAATTCACGGTGCATGTGTCCTATGCTCCTCACCAATCCTTGGCCTCGTAACTTKTGCTTTCCTCCGGGATGGATGGTTGTTCAGCTGCGTAAATATATCTGCCTTGGCAAATTTACCTTCACAAACTCAGTCTTTCAGCACAAGGGTCCTCTTGGTCTCTCGATATTGGTGAAGTTGGCGAGTTGGTCACTCACCTTCATGCCCCCAGCCTGGGGTGGAATGGGGTGTCAGACACCTGTCCCTGCTTCCCCCAGCGCCCCTTTGGCCACTGCCAATCCCACAAGACAYGAGCTTTCCCAGTGCTTGATTTATGCTAATTTTTAATCAGTGCCAGGAGATGCTAAATCAGACTCTGTGCAAACATCTGAGTAAATGACAATTAAGTGATTGCATTTATATGCCAAACGTGTAATGCCATCGAAGGAGGAAATWGGGTTTGTCTGGCTCGGCCTGTTTTCTAGGAGAGCAGATTCTGCCAAGCATTGAACAAATTGTTATTCTGTCATCCTTCCTTGATTAATTTTCTGTGACCTTTTCCATGCTTGTCACAGGCAGAGCAGCCTCATGGTGTGGACCACCTCGTCCCCTTCCTTGTCCTTTTTTGAGTATTGGTGTGATCCTTTAATTTCCTCTGTTTTTCTGATGTAGTGGAAGGTGTGCCTGCCCGTGGCAGGGAGGGGGTTGGAACTAGACCAGATTTAAGGTTTCTTCTGACCCAAGCCTTTCTATGATTTTATGATTATTGAGAAATAACATCCATGGAATGTCTTTCGCCATGGAATGTCTAATTTTAAAATGTTTGCTCTAGTAGATCTTGCTTACTACCATTTTCACTACTGCCTAATGGACTGCAAAGTGCTTCTTTTTCTTCCTTTTTTTTTTTTTTTTTTTTTTTTTTTTTTTTTTTTTATTTTTTTTTAATTCTACTAGATGAGAAAAGTGCCTCTTCTTTAATCTTTCTAAGGAGAAAATAGAGGGGTTTAGCATTTCTGCCATTTCTGTGCTGTTTTACCATCTCTAGACATGCACATCAGCATTCTGGCACTCCTCATTTTTCTCTCTGTAGTCACACCACTTACGCTTTTTCTGTAGTCTTCATTTTTTGTATTAACAGAACATTTTTTCCTATATTTTTGCCTTTCAAAGTTGTTCTATACTATGCTTTTAACTTCTGCGTGCTTCCTTCACCCTGCTGCTGAGACAAAGTTGTCCTTCAGCCAAAATTGGCCATTTTCTTAATTAAGCAATCATGACTTTATGGAGTAAGATCATAAGTATTCTCATTTACATTTCCATCTCTATTTTTGAATCGCAATTTTCTCATCATTTCTCCCATCTTGATGGAGAAGGCCTTTCTGAAGCATCTGTGTATGTGTGTGTGTGAGAGAGAGAGAATTTCCCTGACTAGGATAGTCCTTTTTCCTGGTTATAACAACTGTCCTTGCTATAATCAAATTATGATTGCTGGCCCCTGAGCAACCCTCCCCTTTTTGTTCCATGATTAAGTTGTTTAAATGTTGCAAGTTTGAAAATACTTCTTCCATGCACACTGGAATAACTTTTTTCATAGCAAGTAAGTTTTCAGGAAGTGTAATGAGACATGGCTTCTAGCTGTGGGTTTTTTTTCCTCACACTGCTTCAAACTGAGCACATTTCTGGTATTTTGGGGGATATTTCTGGTATTTTTTTGGGATCAGCAACCTGATCCTCTCYGCTCCATTCCACCCCTCCTCAAGAGGGTTAATTGCAACAACTTACTGTCTCTGCATCTCTAAAATAATGATGGTTTTATACATACTGTTACCTTCTCAACCTTCAAATATCTTTATTTATGTTAAAGGATTGGGACTAAGTGTTTTAATGTTCCATTTTGGTAAATCATCTTGCCTATTTCAGTAATTACATCACTTTGATCTCATTCCTCCTCATCAATGAGAATGTTCTTCCATGTTACCCACACTCTGAGAATTGGCTTATAGACGACTGGAAAACTCTTTCTCTCAARTTATTGTTGCTGCCTATACTTGCAGGCTGCAGCATGGCTTTTCTGGCATGATGGAAGCCCACATTTGAACAGGTCTGCGTGAGTTAAATTTTTCTGCCTTTTTTGCTCAGTTGTTTCTCCTGTCAGCCGCTGTTATTATTATTAAAACAAAGCAAAAATGAGCACTTGCAAGAGCCTATTTATGTCACTGCAGCACTGCTGTTCCTGTGGTTATGAGGAGAATTGCTTGCAGAGCACCCAGCCAGGGTTAGCGTGCCAGTGAGGCAGTGCACAGACACTCAGGATGGAGAATCGGGGTCACATCAGTCAACAAAATAACAATGCCTCTGCAAATTTACACAGGGAGGGCATGATCTGTTTTGCAATCCATGGAGCCAAAAAGTCTTGCTCACTTTATGTGGAATGCTGTGATTCCTTAAATTCTGCCAGGGACTGGAAACTCAACATCCCCAGTCTGAGGTCTTCACAGTCCAAATTAGACTTGGCATGCTAAGGGTTGATAATAATGGGGAATGGAAGGATGCAGCAGAGGCTGATTGCAGGAATGGGTTTGTGATCAGCTGAAYTCTATGGACAGGTTGTTAGATCCTCCTGAGCTTTTTGTGGCAAGCAGAGCAAAGTGTTTGGACTTGTTAGCAATTATTTACAAGAAAATCAGTGAGAGCTGGGTGAGCRAAAAAGTTGAAAAACATAGAAAAGAGTTAAAGGAGAGTGGGGGTAGAAGACAACATGGGCATTCTCTGTTCAGGGACTGTTGTGGAGGAAAGAAATCAAGGGAGTGAAGAAATATGCATGGAATGCATGCAAAGCAGTAAAAAAAAAAGGGAGGAAGAGACCTCATGATAAAGTACAATAAAGACCTTTTTACAAATAGTTGGCAGTAGTTTTGTCTGGAATKATATTATTTGATCAATAGTGATCTGGAATTGTTTATCTGGTTAATTAATCTTGTGTAAGTCACTTAGTTATGATTGAATGACTTTGCATTATAGCTTTAAGGCAAAACAAAATGCAACACTTGATCCACTGTGCTGAGAACAGAAAGATATACCCAGAAAGAAAAAAGATTAAGGTGACAGTTTGCTCACTGGTGCTTGTTTATTGACATTTAGAGAACAGAAGAGTTTGAACTTGTATYATTTGATCTTGGAAATGAGGCTTTTTAGTAGTACCTGTATGACAAAGTGATCAACTTTGCTCCTAAATCTTGTGCTTAGAACTGTCGTGCTGTAAGATGATCTCTAATACTTTTTTCGTTGTAAATACTGCCATCATGGAACAAAATCATCTTCATCTGAGTAAGTAGAAGGACCCTCTGAGCATTTGGTAAAGCTGCATTGGCTACATATGTGTTTAGAAATAATTTGTTATTCATTATGTGTWCATGATTAGTTGGCAAACTCCAACCGTATTTTGTTGCACAGCGATTCGTGCTGAGCCACGGGGACATCTGCATTTCAAATCCCTCTGGAGAGAAWGTGTAGTGTAAAGAGACTGACAGATTTTGGGTGGGCATTTGAAGGATATTTTGACTTTAAAGTAAATCATCGAACTAATGCCAGAGTGAAATCCACAAAAATGTCACTATTAAATACTGCTGCTCCAGCTATCTAACGCTGGGAACACTTGGGAGGGAGATGCAGCATAAGAGAAAAACAGAAATTATTTTTCAAAGCCAGTTGGCATCTTGAGTTTATTGCTTTCCCCAACAGCCRGGCTGTCGTGGCAGCCTTCCCTCCTCCTGGGGAAAGAGAGCCTGTGCCATTTGTCTCTTGTGTAATGCCCTCGGAGTGATGCCTGAAATGATATTGGCAGTTGTGCAGGAGGACTGTAACACATCCATTTTTAATGGAAGACGAGCTGTCCGGCATAACGGGCGGTGCACGAAGCTGAGCAGCCAAGGGATGGAGGATGCTGTGGATCTCCACACGTTTACATGTTTGTCATTTAGCCTGACTAATCTGCAGTTCAACAATATGTCAGAATAAATGGTCAGTGATAGATTTAAATGAAGTACTTAAGAGTGAAGAAAAGCAGTGTTTTTTAGTGGTTAGATCAAGGGATTGGGGATGGGAGTTGTTGAGTCTTGAGGGTTTTTTTCAGCTTTGTTGCTGACTTACTGGGATGACCTCAAGCAAGTTAATTAACCCCTCTGCCATTTCATCCCTCTGTAAACT